GCCCGGGTCGGGCGGGAAACACCGGTAACAGTCATCCTCATCACTACCAGTTACAGCATACATAGCAGAAAGAATAGCATCAAAGTCAAGATCATAAATGGCTACACCAGCCCTAGACAGCTCCCCACAGCGGGGGATCTCAGCGGCCTCCGGAAACTGCTGACGCCAGGCGTCAGTCAGGCGGCCAAAGCAGCGGCGGGCTGTGTGGGTGCCTCCACACCTCTCCCCCGCACGGTCGCTGGTGCGAAGAACGTAGGGGCAGGGACCAAACGCACCACCACGCTGACGCTGCAAGTACCACTCACGGAGCTGCTGAGGGGCGGGGACGGTGCGAGAGCGCTGCTGCTGCTGCTGCTGCTGCTGGCGCTGACCACCCCTAGAGCTGCTCCGCTGGGACGAGCCACTCCGACCCCCGCCGCCACCGCCACTCCCGCCTCCACCACCACCCCCGTCTCCACCGCCACCGCCCCCACCGGTACCCTCGCCCCCGCCTCCTCCGCTACCGCCTCCGCCGCCACCTCCGCCTCCACCGCCTCCACCAGTACCTCCACTCCCGCCACCACCTCCACCGCCACCCCCACTCCCCCCGCCACCCCCACCTCCTCCGCCACTGCCTCCTCTAGCTCCACCCGCTCCCTTGCCCCCCTTGCCCTTGCCAGAGCGGCGTGTACCGCTGGGGGCAGACGCCGCACCGACCGACTCAAAACCAGCGAGGTCGGCCGCAGCGGCAGAGGCGACAGAGGGCAGCAGGGGGGAAGGAGAACACCCCTCAAAGATGGGGGTGCGAGGGTCACCCCGAGAGGCCCCTACAGCGATTATGCTCTTCTCAGCCGCTAGCAGGGACTCCTCAAGGAGGTCGACAGTGAGGGTGGTGGGACAGACAGAGAGAAACTGGTCCCTAACGACACGAAGGGACTCAGGAAGACGGGTGACGAGAAAGTAGAGAGTGATGTACATGGGAGGAGGGTTTGCGGCGCGGAACTCAGCAGGAAGGGCAGCGCGGTAGCGAGCGTCACTAGCGCGGAGGTGGGTAATGAGGTCAGCGACAGTGGGAAAGGCAGCGAGGTCAGGGAAGAGAAAAGGTAGCATGAGGCGGCTCAGCGTAGCGGAGGAAGGGGAGTAGTAGCGTGCAACTACAGCGTCGTACAAGGCCTGAGCGGTCTTGCACTGACTAAAGTGGGCACGCTCGGAGGAAGGGAGGTGGCGACGCACAGCAAGACGTGCAGCAGCATCGCGGGTCGCCCACTTGGAGCGAACGGCGGAATCAGCATCAGCAGGAGGGGCAGGGACAGCGCCAGAGACAAAGTCAAAGAGAGAGACCTCATCGATCGCATCACACAGTAAGTACAGCTGCAGGTCTTCAATCCAGACTGCAAAGTCAATGGCTCTACCCTCAGCGTCAAAAGCTAGGACATTGGGGGTGGCCATGACAGCAGCTGACAGTCTCACCGGGCAGGAAGAGTCGGGTAGGTCAGCGGCGCAGATACACAGCCCAGGAGCAGCAGTAGCCCGACAGGAGCAGGAGTGCAGCTCCTCTGGCGGCTCGGGCAGCTCGGGCGGCTCGGGCGGCTCGGGCGGCTTGGGCGGCTCGGGTGGCTAGGGCGGCGCGGGCGGCCCGGGCGGCTCGGGCAGCTCAGGCGGCTCGGGCGGCGGCACGGGCGGCTGGGGCGGCTCGGTGGCTGCTCACGGGCGGCTGTGACGGCGCGCGGGGAGCTCACGGGCGGCTGGGCGGGCGGCCAGGGCGGCTCACGGGCGGCGGCGGCGGCGTCGGCGGCTCACGGGCGGCGGCGGCGGCAGCGGCGTCGGCGGCTCACGGGCGGCGTCGGCGGCGTCGGCGGCTCACGGGCGGTGTCTGCGGCGTCGGCGGCTTACGGGCGGCGTCGGCGGCGTCGGCTGCTCACGGGCGGCGTCGGCGGCGTCGGCTGCTTAAGGGCGGCTTCGGCGGCTCACGGGCGGCGTCGGCGGTGTCGGCGGCTCACGGGCGACGTGGCGGGCGTCGGCGGCGTCGGCGGCTCACGGGCGGGCTGAAGGCCCACGGGTGGGCGGTTCGCGGGCAGCGCCGGCTCACGGGCGGGCGGCGTGACGGGCGGCGGCGTCACGGGCGGGCGGCGTCACGGGCGGGCGGCGTGACGGGCGGCGGCGTCACGGGGGGGGCGGCGTGACGGGCGGCGGCTCACGGGCGGCGGCGTCACGGGCGGCGCTCACGGGCGGCGGCGCACGGGCGGCGCTAACGGGTGGCGCGACGGGCGGCGGCTCACGGGCGGCGCTACGGGCGGCGGCTCACGGGCGGCGCTACGGGCGGCCGCACGGGCGGCGCTACGGGCGGCCGCACGGGCGGCGCTACTGGCGGCCGCACGGGCGGCGCTACTGGCGGCGCTAACGGGCGGCGCGAACGGGCGGCCGCACGGGCGGCGCTAACGGGCGGCGCTAACGGGCGGCGCTAACGGGCGGCTCGAAAGGGCGGGCGCTAGGGCGGGCGCTAGGGCGGGCGCTAGGGCGGGCGCTAGGGCAGAAAAAAAAAGTTCTAGGTGGTGGGCCCTAAGCACAGTTCCCACAGGGGAACCTGCTCTGATTCCATGATAAGAAGTGAACGAGAGAAATGAGTGAACTATGAACGAAGTGAGTACAAATAGGAAACCCTGACTGGGTTGTACCCCCTATGGGATACCCCACTATAGCCTACATAAATAAGTAAGCTATAATGTTCTGACACAGATAGTGTGTCAAGATTTCGGAAAGTGTGTCAGAATTTCGGAAAGTTGTGTCAGAATTTCGGAGAGTGTGTCAGAGGTTTCTGCTTCAGGATTCGTCAATTTATTCTGACGCGAGTGGGAAAACCAGAGTCAGGCTCAATTTCGGCGGGAATTTCTTGTAGTTACCATTCGCGTGATGGGCTGCTAGTGTAGAGTTACCAAATGCGTTAAGCGAGTTACCAAACGTGTTAAGCGAGTTACCAAACGCGTTAAGCGAGTTACCAAACGCGCTGAAATCGTTACCGTTCGCGTTATAGTTCCCCATGTAAGTTACCATTGACATAATTTCCCTTGTTTTAAACTTTGTGTGGATTGTAACAACAACTGTCAACTTCCCATTGGTTGGAAATCCAACCTTGCACATTCATTTGGTTGGGTTGGAAAACTTCCCAACCTTCACATTTGTTGGTTTGGAAAGTCCCAAGCCTCCAGGTTGAGGGTTGGGAAAACCAAAGCAATGTTCTTCTCCAACTCAACCTTCCCAATTTCCTTCACGTCATTTCTCATCGAGGAAGTCTCTCGATGTTTGACTTAGGAAGTTAGCCGTAGATTAGGCAGAGTAGGTCATGCGTTACAGCAGGAGGAGGAATGCAGGAATCGAGGAGAGGAGGGACAACTTCTGATGCTTCGACTGATCTCGTCACATGCGCGCGCAACAAAAGGCGGCGATGCAGAAAAGAAGCAGAGATAGAGGTGTAATTTCACGATCAAGTCGAGTCAAGTCCAATATTTTCACTTGTCTCCTCTCTCCTCTAGCATCTGCAGGCACGAAACGTTATTTTTACCCTGGGACTTGGCAAGCGGAACGCAGTTAACACGTGAGACTGCGAGACACGTCAGCAGGAGCAGCGCGACGAAGGCTGCACGCTCCATGAGGAAAAGCGCCGCTTTCAAAGATTGTAACAATGGCGGTCGGCTCCAAGTGATGTCAGTGAAGAAAAATCGCTCAGTGAGGATAAGTGGCGGTCTCACAGGTTCCTACGAGCACAGAACCAACTGCTAGGGATGGTGCTTGTTTCAAGCACTGGTACCAGTGGCCTAACCAGGACAGTTGAGCCTCATTGCCTTTCAACTGCGACCTGGGTTAGGAGACGGCTCGATCAGATTTGTTGTTGTGGAGCAGTTTACCATTGGCCTTCACAAAGGTGGTTTTCGTTTCGTGGACATGCTCTGTTCGAGCTCCTTTCCAGTTTCTTATTTGCGCGATAAAGCCCAGGCGGAATCTTTCATGTCTCCTGTCCCTTCGGGCAAAACTCGACGGCTACCCTGCCTGTCCCAGGTTGTGGCTGAAATGCACTGGAGAAGGTTGAGGACGAAATAATAAATCTCCAGAAACTTTATGCTGGAATGGAAGGCTTCAGATCGCGCCAAGGAAAACCATCAGTGAGAGTCGGATTTCCATAGAAATTAGGGAAGTCGAGGGGCCAGGGAGGGAAAACTCAAGTCCGAAGTTTTAGTGCTCCGTCCAGACCTATGGGTTCATGCTTAACATGAAGCCTAAACGTCCGAACTTCTGGACACCCTGTTGACAGCACATTGAGGCTCGGTCGACGTGAAAGTAGCTCTGAAACACGAAGGGTGTCCTCTGAACATCATTCGAATATTCAACTAACACAGAACCGGTCCTGGTAAGAAAGGTTTTTTTGTGGATCTAACTTCCTTTATACCCCGCAAATACGGGTAAGTGGTGACCTGCAGACCCCCGCTGTTATACAATTTATGCGCGATTCGGACTTGTAAGACGGCTCGATCGGGATTTGCCGTTGGATCTTTGGTTGCGGAGGAGTTGCATACGTGTCCATCTCTCAATGGGCTTCACACGTGCTGTTTGGGACAAGTGTTGTTGGTGATAGGGTCGGCCATATCAAGACCGGTTCTTCCAAGCGAACCTGAATTACTTTCCCATAACAGTTTCTCTTTTACTACGGATATCTCACTTTCTTTAGCGTGTCACTCAATAGCGGAGTTACCCTTTACCAACACAACACTCACTGCTTCATCAAGAGTCTAGTTTTCGAACTCGATGCCTTGCGCTAACTAGTCGTAGTCTGAACAGAAACATTAGGTTCTTAGTCGCACCATTTTCGGGGAGGGATAGGTAGCTACTTTTTCCGGGCCCAGTAGCAGCCTCTCTGCTTTCGTGTTCTTTTAACTTTCTAGAAAGGAATAGTACCTCAGGGTTTCACGATAGAGTGTTTGAAAGTTTCGTCTGCAGCTGCCTCTGCCCCTTCCCCCCTTCGCCTGGGCATGTGGAAGCGCAAATTCTCCGCAGCCGGCGGAGATGCTTCCGCCGAACCTTCCGCCTCGCGCGGCCGTGGTGCGGGCGGGAGCGGAAGCGGAAGCAGCGGATTCGGCTTCGTGCGCTCGGGGGGAAGCGCGTACACGCCGCCCGTGAATCCTGCCGGCTCGTACGGCGGCTTCGGCGGAGGAGGAAGCTACGCCGGCTACCGCAGCGGCTCGGGTCGGCGGTCGCTGCCGGACGACGAGGACGACGATATAGCGGATATCGAGTACCGCGATGACGGGGATGCGGGGGGCGCCACGACGGCCACTGGTTTTGGGGAAGGAGAAGACGACGAGGGAAACCGACGCGCGGCGGCGGCGGGAGAGGAGGAGGAGGATCCGCTCGACGTGTTCATGTCGGGCATTGAGCAGAAGGTGAAGGAGGACGCGGTCGCCGCCACTTCGCGCGCGGCGGCGGCGGGCGCGAAGGGCGGAGAATCAGGGGAAGCCGCAAAGCCGGAGCGGGAGGACTGGCGCGCGGAGGAGGAGGAGGCGGATCTGCTCAACTCGTTCCTGCGCGCGCGCAAGAGCGCGGGGCTGTCGGTGGCGGCGGACGCTGTGATGGGGCGCGGGTACGACTCGGACGAGGAGGTCTACGCCGCCGCGAAAGCCGTCGACGCCGCTGCCGCCGCCGCGGCCGCCGCCGGCGCTGCGGGCGGCGCGGCTGGGTCCGCATTAGAGTACGACTCGGACGATAACCCGATAGTGGCTGACTCGGTAACGTCGTTAAAGAGCAAGATGGACGCGCTAGGCCACGTAGACCATTCCGCGATCGAGTACGACGAGTTCGAGAAAGATTTCTACCAGGAGCATCCTGACGTCACCGCCATGTCAGCAGCCGACGTGGCGGCGCGGCTCGCGGCGCTCTCGATCCGCACGTCGGGCTTCGACGTGCCGCGCCCGATCAGCGCGTTCGCGCACGCCGCGCTCCCCCCCGCGCTGATGGGCGCAGTGCGCAAGCACGGCTACTCCGCGCCCACGCCCATCCAGTCCGCCGCGCTCCCCGTCATCCTCAGCGGCCGTGACGTCATCGGCGTCGCGAAAACCGGCTCGGGAAAAACCGCCGCGTTCGTCCTCCCTCTGATCGTCCACGTGGCGGACCAGCCGCGCGCGGGGCGCGGGGAGGGCCCGATCGCGCTGATCTGCGCGCCGACGCGCGAGCTGGCGGCGCAGATCCACGCGGAGGCACGGCGCTTCGCGAAACCCCTAAACCTCCGCGTGGCGGGCGTGTTCGGCGGGATGTCGAAATTCGAGCAGTTCAAGGAGTTGAAAGGGGGCGTGGAGGTGGTGGTGGCGACGCCCGGGCGGCTGATCGACATGCTCAAGATGAAGGCGCTGTCGCTGCGACGCTGCACGTTCCTCGTGCTGGACGAGGCCGATATGATGTTCCACCTGGGCTTCGAACCGCAGGTGAGAGCTTGTTGGGCACTTGGTTTTGCATAGCCTCAGGTATCGTACCACTGCTGTTGTTTCGCTTAAGCCGCCTAACTGTACGACTGCTCTGCCGCTCTCTGAGAACTATGTCTGAACACTGCTGCCATGCTGTTACACCCTCCTCTTTTGCCTCGACCCCACCCATCCTCCCGCAGGTGCGAGCCATCGTGGCGCAGATCCGCCCCGACCGCCAGACGCTGCTCTTCTCCGCCACCATGCCGCGCCGCATCGAGCGCCTCGCGCGCGACATTCTTACCCACCCCGTGCGCATCGCCGTGGGGGAGGTGGGCGCAGCAAACACGGACGTGCGGCAGCAGGTGGTGGTGCTGGCAGGGGACGACGGGAAGGTCCCGTGGCTGCTGGGGGAGCTGGGCACGCGCGTGGACGAGGGCGACGTGCTCGTGTTCGCCGGGACAAAATTACGAGTTGATGCGGTAACCGCGGCGGTGGCGGGCGCGGGGTTTAAGGTCGGCGCGCTGCACGGGGATTTGGACCAATCGCGGCGCAGCGAGGTGGTGCGGCAGCTGAAGAAGGGAGACTTGCATGTGGTTGTTGCCACGGATGTAGCAGCCAGGGGATTAGACATCCGATCCATCAAAACGGTTATTAATCTGGACAGTGCGCGGGACATGGACGCTCATGTGCATAGAGTGGGGAGGACGGGCAGGGCGGGGGACACGGATGGAGTGGCGATTTCGGTGGTGACGGGGAAGGAGGCGCGGTTTGCGGGCGAGCTGGTTGGGTGCCTCGTGGCCGGTGGGCAGGAGGTGCCTCCAGAGCTGCTGGAGCTGGCGATGAAGGTGAGAGCGAGAGCAGGAAGGGGGGGGGGGATGGTGAGGGTGGGTGCTAGTGATGAGAGCGAGGGGGCGAGCTGGTGGGGTGCCTCGTGGCGGGCGGGCAGGAGGTGCTGGCTGAACTGCTGGAACTGGCGATGAAGGCGAGAGGAGAGGAGGAGGGGCGAAGGTGAAGTGAGGTGGGGTGAGGGATGAGGGTAAGGAAGGTAGGGAGTTGAAGTTGAGGGAGACACTGACACGGACGGAGTGGCGTGTGTCGATGGTGACGGGCAAGGAGGCACGAGGGAAGCTGGTGGGATGCCTGGTGGCGGGCGGGCAGAAGCAGGCAATGAAGGTGAGGGGAGGAGGGGCGAAGGTGAAGTGAGGGGGGGATGCGGGTAGGGTTGAATGTGAGGGGGGGAGGAGGAGGGTGAGAGGGAGGGTGGGGCGGGGCTGGTGTCCCTCTGGGTCCTCTGCTTTCTCGTCTCCTCGTTGTCTTCTCCCATGACTTGTTGTCAATCCCTTCTCTCCTTTGCCTATCACCCCCCTTTTGCTGTGCTGTGCTGCTCTGCTCCCTACCTTGGCAGGATTCTCGGTTCAGAGCTCAGAGGGAGGGGAGAGGAGGTGAGTCACTCGGCCGTTTACTCTTCTCTCCACCACCACTTGCCGTTTACCCCTTCTTCCCACAGCGTTTCCTCCCCTTTCCCTCCCCACCCGCCCCCCTGTATTTTTTCTTGCGTCTGTTGCCTCTCTTTTCGCACCCGTTGCTTCTTCTTGCCATTGCCCTGCCCCCCACCTACACACAGAGCCCTGCGTCCCATGAAGCTGAGATGCACCCCTTGCCTGCCTCGCTCCCTTGCTTGCTTACTGTGCTCCTTACTTGCTTTCTCCCTGCACCGCTCCTCCCCTTTTTCCTCTCTACCCGCCACCCTTTCCCCTCCCCCTCCACAGGTTTCCGCAAGGGCAAGGGGGGGAGAGGCGGAGGGGGAGGGGGGAGGGGGGCACGGGGGGTGGACTATGGCATGGGGCTGGGCTTTCAGGAGGGGGGAGGGGCCGGGGGAGGGGCTGGGGCTGGGGGAGGGGTAGGGGGAGGGGGAGGGGGAGGGGGTGGGGGAGGGGGTGGGGGGAGGGGGGAGAGGCGTGGGGGCGAAAGGTGGGGGGCGAGGGAGTGGGGCAAATGCGTTCGTGTCTGGGGGATCACTGGGTGTTGCTGGGACGCCCACTGATCATGCTGCTTCTGCTGCTGCTGGCGGTGGTAGTGCTGCTGCTGGTGGCAGCAGTGGGGGCAGCAGGGTGGGCACGCGAGCAGGGGCAGTGGATGCACTGCGGGTGGGCATGATGGCCAAGTTCAAGTCCTCCTTTGTTGCTGCCTCCGCTCCCCACCCCCACGACCCTGTCCCCGACCTCCCTCCGCCCCCTCCGCCTCTCCCCCCTGCTTCTGATGCCCCTCCCCCTCCGCCCTCTGCTGCTACTCCTGCTGCTTCTGGCTTTGCGGCACCACAAGGAGCAGTCGCAGAGCCAGCTTGGGGGGCAAGCGCTGCTGCTGCTGCTGCTGCTGCTGCTGCTGTTGGTGGTGGTGTCAGCAGTGGCAGCAGCATGGGGGCAGACGTGGTGGCGGCTGCGATTGCAGCGGCTGCAGCCAAGGCTGCTGCCATCGCTGCCAGCCTTGGCCTGCAGGCTCCCGGGGGAGGAGGTGGGGGAGGAGGGGTAGGAGGGGCAGCAGCGGGAGGGATGGCGATGGGAGGAGGGGTGACAGGGACGGTTGCTAGCATGGGTGCAGCTTCAGGTGGAGTTGATGGTGTTGGGGAGTTGGGGGATCGAGGTCAAGAGAGAGGATGGGACAAGGATAGAGAGAGAGACAGAGGTAGCGACAGAGATAGGGAGAGGGAGAGGGAGAGGGAGAGGGAGAGGGATAGAGAGAGGGAGAGGGCGAGATATAGAGAGAGGGAGGGGGATCAGTACCGTGACAGGGATCGGGAGAGACAGAGAGAGAGTGATCGGGATGGGGGTAGGGATAGGGACAGGGACAGGGACAGGGATAGGGACAGGGACAGGGACAGAGATAGGGAGAGGGAGCGGGGGGGACATGGGGTGAGAGAGGAGAGGAGCAGGGGGAAGGAGGAGGGAGGGCGGCAACGGTCCAGCCGATGGGGATGAGAGGATGGGGAGATGGGAAGATGGGGGGATGGGGTCATTGGAGCGTGGTGAGGGTTGTGCCGCATGGAGAGAAGGGTGGGAAGCTGTGATTGTAGGGGTTCACCTCCGACTACCCTCACATTATGGCTTGGCTGCGTCATCTTCCCTGGCTTCCATTTTCAGCCGATTTCCCTCTTCCAACACTACACTGACCAGGTTGCGAAGTGCATTCGTGGTTGCAGCGACACCGGCTCAGCACACACATGCACGTGTCAGCATGTGCCACTGCAACATTGTCTTGTACTAGTTTCATGTTTGATGGGTTGCTTGCGAATCGCGATTGGCTAGGATGGTAGTCATGCCAAAGTAGCTTCTGATGTGGCTGTCTTCAGTTCCTTCTGCTGTGCATATGATAGAAGTATAACACACCAAGTAGTGTTTGTGCTCTAATAGTGTTTTGAACATGTTGTAAAAGTGCATTCCACTTGTACTGCTCACTGGAATCGCCAAACGGGTCACGCAATAAAAGCACTCGGATCTTCCCTGCATTCCCATTCACCTAGTCGTCAGGCCGACACAGATTCTAAGCTGCTGCTTTCCCCGCCGAACTTGGCTGCTACTTATTTTCGCGCTCCGCTGTCGATCTAGGAATCCCGTCCCCAGTGCTTGCCGTAAAGTTAGATTCGCCTAGTTGCGCGCTACAGCAAGTAAATTCGCCTGGTCGCGTCGTAAGCTGAAAGCCCAACTTGTCTGTTCGCGCTATAAGCAGAAAGATTGATTCGCCATGTCGGTGAGTGATAGTCTCCTTCCCGATTCTTCCTTGCACGCTTTCCGAGTGAATTTCTCACTTTCCAGTAAATCTCATCAACGGCTCAGATTTGTGCGTTGCCTCCCGGCCCATCTCATACCCGCTGCGATTTCCAAATTTGGACCGCTGGTTGAAATTTAGCGCAATAAGAAGCCGTCCATCAGAGCCGTCGATCCCGATCTTTGCGTCCAATCATAGGCCGTCGCTTCGCGTAGACCTGGCGGCGCCACTTTCCTCTTTCTCTTTCCACGTTTTCCTTGAGATCGCGTCGTACAGTGGAAACACGATACCACCCGTAGTGACGACGGTGATGGCAGCTTTCGCAGCAGCCATGTCGGCATAGCCGAGCGGTGTTCGCCGAGCGGCCCCCCTCTCCGCAGCGGCCGCATGGACGGTTGATAGCCGAGCGGCGATCGCCATCTCAATTAACTTCCCAACGCCCCCCATTCCGCAGCCCATTCACAATCCTCCCTCGGCGCCCCCTTAACACCCCCTTGCGTCGTCCCTCCCCCCACAATCTCTCCGCATCGCCCTCACAACCTCCTTCCCCTCTTCCCCCCTCTCTCCCTCGCACCATCCCCTCTCTTCCCCTCCTCCCCCCCCCCCCCCCCCCCCCCCCCACACCCACCCCCTTTTCTCCGCACCCCTCCCAACACCCGCCCTCGCGCCTCTCGTCATCAGATCACGTCGTACAACGTCGGCGCGGTGGTCGCAATGAAGGGCGACAAGTGCGTGGCGATCCCCTTCATCTTCTAACGCCCCTTCTCCGCACCCCCCTCACAACCCCCGCACCCCTCTCAACCCCCGCCCTCGCCTCTCTCCCCCCTCCCCCACCCCTTCCTTCGCCGTCAGATCACGTCGTACAACGGCGGCGCGGTCGTCGCGATGAAGGGCGACAAGTGCGTGGCGATCGCGTGCGACCGGCGCTTCGGCGTGCAGCTGCAGACGCTGGCGACGGACTTCAACCGCGTCTTCCAGATGCACCCGCGCCTCTTCCTCGGCCTCGCTGGCTTGGGTACCGACGTGCAGACGCTGTGAGTGCCTCGCATGGGTGTGTGCGCGCATGGGCCCGATTGGAGGTGGAGTTGGGGTTCGACCGACGGGAGGTGCGCGGGGGGACCCGCGACTCTTCCTCAGTCTCGCGGGCCTGGGCACCGACGTGCAGACGCTGTGAGTGCTGTGCATGGGTCCGATGGGTTATGCGGATGGGGGATGCAGGGGGGCTTCAACCGCGTCTTCCAGATTCATCCCCGCCTCCTCCTCGGCCTCGCTGGCCTGGGCACGGACGTGCAGACGCTGTAAGTGGGGGGTGGGGGTGGGGGGGTGATTTCTAGGTGCGGATGGGTGAAGGGGAATGGCGGCTGCAGACCCTGGCGACGGACTTCAACCGCGTGTTTCATATCCACCCGCGCCTCTTCCTCTGGCTCGCCGGGCTGGGCACCGATGTGCAGACGCTGTGAGTGCCTCGTGAGAGGATGCTGATGTGCAAACACTGATGTGCAGACGCTGTGAGTGCCTCGTGAGAGGACCCTGATGTGCTGATGGGGACATGCTGATGGGGACATGCTGATGGGGACATGCTGATGGGGACATGCTGATGGGGACATGCTGATGGGGACATGCTGATGGGGACATGCTGATGGTGACATGCTGATGGTGACATGCTGATGGTGACATGCTGATGGGGACATGCTGATGGGGACATGCTGATGGGGACATGCTGATGGGGACATGCTGATGGTGTCATGCTGATGGGGACATGCTGATGGGGACATGCTGATGGGGACATGCTGATGGGGACATGCTGATGGTGACATGCTGATGGTGACATGCTGATGGGGACATGCTGATGGGGACATGCTGATGGGGACATGCTGATGGGGACATGCTGATGGTGACATGCTGATGGTGACATGCTGATGGGGACATGCTGATGGGGACATGCTGATGGGGACATGCTGATGGGGACATGCTGATGGTGACATGCTGATGGTGACATGCTGATGGTGACATGCTGATGGGGACATGCTGATGGGGACATGCTGATGGGGACATGCTGATGGGGACATGCTGATGGTGTCATGCTGATGGGGACATGCTGATGGGGACATGCTGATGGGGACATGCTGATGGGGACATGCTGATGGTGACATGCTGATGGTGACATGCTGATGGGGACATGCTGATGGGGACATGCTGATGGGGACATGCTGATGGGGACATGCTGATGGGGACATGCTGATGGGGACATGCTGATGGGGACATGCTGATGGGGACATGCTGATGGTGACATGCTGATGAGTAACGTGGTGCCTCCTACACCTGTGTGCGGTGCAGTGCAGGGCGCATGCGCAGGTTGAGATGGTTGACGTGGGGGAGGGGGCATGGGCAGTGTGAGCGAATGCAGGATGAGGTGGGGGAATGGCTTATTACTACTGTGACTTATAGTTAAGTCCTTAACGCATGTGCCAGTTCCATTTCTTGTACAGCCTTGTGTGCTCGCCAATCGTTTTCCTCCCCTGTACTTCTGAATTTGCCCCTCACCACCCCACCCCACTTCCCCCCTCCCTTCTTCCCGTCAGTGATTCTCCCACGTCGCCTGCAGAACACGCGCCTGCAGTTCTGCAACATCCGATTTTCACATCCTCGTTTCACTCACCCTCCCTTCCCCTCTTGCCCCTCGCCACCCCCACCCCCCTCCCCTTCCCACCCCCTCCCCTCTGCCCCACCATCGCAGCAAGCAGCGCCTGGAGTTCCTCCACAAGCTCTTCTCTCGTTTCAGCTCTCTTCTGCACTTCCTCTTGCCCCTCTCCGCCTCCCCCCCTTTATCCCCCCCACCATCACAGCAAGCAGCGCCTGGAGTTTCGCCACAAGCTGTTCGCGCTGAGGGAGGACCGAGTCATGCCACCCGCCACTCTCCTGTTCTGCACTTCCAATCATCACACCCTCGTCTCAACCTCCCTCCCCCCTTTCCTTCCCCCCCATCCCCCACCCCACCGCCACAGCAAGCAGCGTCTGGAGTTTCGCCACAAGCTGTTCGCGCTGAGGGAGGACCGAGTCATGCCGCCCGCCACCTTCGCCCACCTCGTCAGCTCCATCCTCTACGAGCGCAGGTTAGACCCGACCAGGTTCATCCTCTTTATAAGGAGACGCTAACCTACACGTATAAGTAACAGATGTTCATAAGTAAGCTGCCACGTATGGACACCTTCGCCCACCTCGTCAGCTGCATCCTCTACGAGCTCAGGTGCTGCCAGCGTTGTTGTTGCCTCCTCGTTAGTGTGTGCGTTATTGTTGTTTGAAGCATCTGTACAACTGTGGTCACCATAAGCGGAAAACATACAACTGTTGCACAACAATCATACAATTCAAAGGTTTCAAGCCACGGCTTAAAACAGCAAAAGTCAGCTTTTGAGTCGACTCAAAAGCGATTCAAGCTCATTTGTCAAAACTAATGCTTTTGTTGATTCAAGCTGAACATACCTCACCTCATCTTTCCTCACGCTCTGCTACTTTGTCTGCTTGGAGCTGCGGGGGTCGTCAGAACTTGGAAGACCGGAGCCACCCTCGGCTGGGCACAGCATCAGCAGTTGCACGTTTTCCACTGGGCTGACCACGTGCTTCGCATTTGCGTCATTTGGATAGCTGTGCGTCATGTGCGACAGCTGTGCGTTAGCTCTGCGGCATTCACTTGGTCGTTTTTTTGTCAACCCGCCGTCACTTGTTAGCAGTCTTATTCAGTTGAAGTCAGAATTGGAGCACCTCGGCATGTCGACTTCCACTCCACCTATCTACAGGAGAGTGTGAGGCAGCGTCGAATTACTTGAATGAACTCTCGCCCATACTTGTCTCTCCTAACATTTCGCTATCCCATTCCTGCCCCCTATTCTTTGATTCTCTTACCTCACCCACACCTGACCATCAGGTTCGGGCCGTACTTCATCGAGCCTGTGATTGCAGGTCTGGAGGATGATGGCACGCCCTTCATCTGCGCCACTGACCTCATTGGTGCATAGTGAGTGCCGCTGACCTCATAGGTGCATAGTGAGTGCCGCTGACCTCATAGGTGCATAGTGAGCGCCACTGACCTCATAGGTGCATAGTGAGTGCCACTGACTTCATAGGTGCATAGTGAGCGCCACTGACCTCATAGGTGCATAGTGAGTGCCGCTGACCTCATAGGTGCATAGTGAGCGCCACTGACCTCATAGGTGCATAGTGAGTGCCGCTGACCTCATTGGTGCATAGTGAGTGCCGCTGACCTCATAGGTGCATAGTGAGTGCCGCTCTTGGCCCTCCCTCCTTTTCGTGCGTTCTCTGCTTCTTCTGTCCCCTTTTCCATCTCCCTGTCTTCTGTGCTGCTGACCTTATCAGCGCACAGTAAGTGCTGCTGCTCTCTTTCAGTTCACTACCTTCCCTTCTGCAATCTCCCCTTCCAGTGCCTTCCCTGCTGCTTCCGTCCCCCACTCCCCCTCCCTTTACTTGACCACATCGATGCGTAGTGAGTGCGGTGCCACTGACCTCACTCTCAATCTTATCAGTCAGCGCCGTGCCTCACTCTCAATCTTGTCAGTCAGCGCCGTGCCTCACTCTCAATCTTGTCAGTCAGCGCCGTGCCTCACTCTCAATCTTGTCAGTCAGCGCCGTGCCTCACTCTCAATCTTGTCAGCCAGGGATGTGCCTCATTGGAGTCACTGCTAATCCACCTTCCCACCCTCCCTGCCGCCATTTCTCTTCTTTCACCTATCCCAATCTTCCCCCATCCCTCCATTGCACAGCGAAAACGACTCTTGAACAAACACCCTCTCTTCTTCCTCTCCCCCACCCTCCCTCCTTTCTCCACCGCCTTCCTACCGCCCACCAACCCCTTTCCGCCCTCCACCCCCCCTTCCCCACCCGCCTCCCCAACCCCCTCCTAGCTCCCCCCTCCCTCCTTCCCCCCTCCCTTGACCCTCCACCCCCTTCCCACCGCCGCTCCACCCCGCAAAGTGGATTGTTCGGAGTTTGGAGTGGCAGGGACGGCGGACGAGTCAGACCGACTCACAAGTCAACTTCCCCTCCTTTTCCCACCTTGCAGCCTTCACTGACCTCCCCCCCCCCCCTCTCCCCCTCTTCCTGCCCTCCCACCCCTGTGCCCACCCTCCCATCCTTCACCCCGCAGTGAGGAGTGCCCCGAGTTTGGCGTGGCAGGCACGGCGGACGAGTCGCTGTTTGGGGCGTGCGAGTCGTACTGGCAGCCGGGGCTGCAGCCGGAGGAGCTGTTTGAAACCATCTCGCAGGCGCTGCTCGCTGCTGTGGATCGGGATGCTCTCAGTGGATGGGGGGCTACTGTCCATGTCATGTGAGTGCATGGGGTGCCACCGTGCATGTCATTTGAGTCCATGGATGTGATGTGATGTGAGTGGATGGGATGGGTGTGATGTGAGTGGATGGGGTGCCACCGTGCATGTCATGTGAGTGAGTGGGATGGGAAGCAACTGGCGTGTCATGTGAGTGAGGGCTGCAGCCGGAGGAGCTGTTTGAAACCATTTCCCAGGCGCTGCTCGCCGCTGTGGACAGGGACGCGTTCAGTAGATGGGGTGCCACCGTGCATGTCATGTGAGTGAGTGGGATGGGAAGCAACTGGTGTGTCATGTGAGTGAGGGCTGCATCCGGAGGAGCTGTTTGAAACCATTTCCCAGGCGCTGCTCGCCGCTGTGGACAGGGACGCGTTCAGTAGATGGGGTGCCACCGTGCATGTCATTTGAGTGGATGGGTGTTGTGTGAGTGGGTGGATGTGATGTGAGTGGATGCATGTCATGCGAATGCATGCATGCCATGTGAGTGGATGCATGCATTGTGAGTGCATTCATGTCATGTTATTGAATGTTTGCATGTCATATTATCGGTAGTGGTAGGAGGCACTTGGCATGTCATGTGAGATCCACAGTGCATGGCACATGATGTGTCTGTTCTTCTTTGATAACACAATGATTACCCGCACATCCTCTTTGGTCTTCGTGTTTACCACCCCTCTGATCGGTTTCATTCCTTTCCTTGCAGTACTCTTGACAAAATTATTACTCGCACACTCAAAGGCCGGATGGATTAATGGCCCGAGATGGGGAGACGGAACACTGCTGTGTTTTTAGTACATCTTGTTCGCTGTAGTATAATGTCGAGTCATTGCTTGTGGAACCCTAGCCAACATCTTTGGTGTAAAAGAGTAACCATAGCTTTGAATCTAAAAAGCATCCTGGTTTTCACAAGAAACATTCAATAGTTCGCGTCTGATGCTAACCTATTTTGCGGATGTTACGTTCTCACCAGTTCTCACAAATCATGGTTGATCTGTGCATTTCCACGCCTCCGTCAACGGAGTCAACATTGCATCTGCGCCAATGAGCAAATAGTCACTTTTCTCGCTCGGCCCGCTTTTTCGTTGTGTTGTTGTCACCCAAGCCTCGTTGGCGAGCTGCTTGTCGCGAACCTGGTGGTGGGCCTGATTACAAAATCGCAACTCGTCGGCTCGTTTCGTGTTGAATTCACAACACGCTGAATTGACGAAATCAATAAATTCCTTCGCCAAGACAGCATTTTCTTGGAGGGAAGGTACAACTGCCAGAGGGATTTACAAGATCCTCCCAGAGCTCCGCTCATCTTTTTGCTGAACGCTTTTCATTGCCTAGATTCCTGCTCACCATATATTTCTCATTCTGAGATAGACCTCTCCTTGGACTCCACGTATTCTCCAGTCAGCGATAGAACAGCCGCAATATCATATTCTCCAGAGGTTATTGTGACTTTCCGTTTCTCCTGCGGCATGTTCTTACTTGAAATCGTGACAAACGTCTTCGATACTAGTACTTGCTTGAACACGTTTGAAATATTGGATGCAGTAGCGGCGATGGAGCGCTCGTCCCTTCATCTCGTCGCTATGTTCCTGCTCACATGCCTCTCGGTCTCACGAGTCGACTGCGTTCGCCTCGCCGACTCCCAAAGGTGAGCGACACCATCTCACCCGCCACCATCCGCCAGAGTCTCATTAGGTGGTAGCACAGCTCGTATCAGATATTTAACCCGTAGAAAGGCTCTAAAAGGCATCAGACATACAAGCGAGAGCTGCATAAGGCACGGAAAAGGTTGCAGAAAATTCTGTAATTTCTTATATTGGAATTTATTAATATTCTGGACCAGGGACAGGTGAAAGTTTAGGATTTGAAAGCCAGTGTATGGTTTTTATAGCTGCTCTACTATGAAAAACAATCATGTTCTGTCATCACATAACACGCAAGCCAAAACAATACGGCTTATGGTGCGTGACACATAAACTTTTCACATATGCACTTTAGGCAAAACGGGCTGTTGATTAGCAGCATGCATGTGCTAACTTAGCTCCAAATGCTCAATCTGGTCTGCACTGTTGGACACTTGGATAAGAATGGGTGCGCCGGCCCACCATATAAGCATGCCACTTGATCCCGTTGGTTAGCAAACCGGAGCTATCCATGCATCATGGTGAGCGTGGAGGGAAGGCCCGGGTCAATTCCTGGTGTCCGGGGTTCAAATCCTTGTGTCACGGGTTCATTTTTCTATTGTACTGAGCTCAGTTCCTTATGTCCCAGGTTCAAGTCCTAGTGTCCGGATTTAGATTTCTGATGTCTCGGGTTTAATATCTGGTGTCTCCAGGCTTCCTGTGCCCGAAGTTGCCCCGTCCAGCGAGGATTGGTAACAGTATATCCACAGAATCACCTCCTGGCCAAGTTATGCAATCCCCTTCCTCCTCCCAACCCTCCCCCCCCCCCACCTCCCCCTCTCTCCCGCCCTCCATCCAGCTTTTATTTAATGAAGCTGCCCTTGTAATGTGGGCCAACTCATATCCTCGTGATGGCCATTTCCTTTTCAACCATGGTCCCCTCACTAGTCGTCTGCCCATCGTCTAGCTGGCGGGTGACTACCCACTTGGTAGCGCACTCTGGACTACTGCGATGCTGCGCCCAGATATGTCCACACCTCCCAACTCCCTCCCTACTACCAGGAACCGCTGTGGGGTTTAATTTGGTTCATGCGATTTGGCTGAGTTGAGCTCGCTTTTTGCGGAAAACAATGGCCTATACCACGGAAACACCCTCCAACCCCGAACAAGATGATCCGCCAACCGCTCCTGATAGATACGAAAATTGTACATTTTCTTACTTTCTCTCCATCCCTCCTGCCGTTCCTACCCCCAGCACATTCCTTGTGGAGTGCAGAAATGCGTGGAACATGAAGATTGATGGCTGGGTGGCTGGCGGCTCTTGCGAGGATGCAAAACACATTGCGTGTGATGCCACTGGCATGATAACGAGCATGTGAGGGACCCCTACGCATGTTGCCACTCTGACCCTCCTTAGGTATTTTCTCTCTCTTCGTCACTCATAATGGGACGCACAACATACCACGTCGTTGTATCAAAGGACCCCCCAGCTCCAATTGTCACCACCCCTCAAACGTCCAAAAGAACGGGGTGCAGTGCAAGAAAGAGCAAGGGGAAAAGCACAAGCAAGGGGCAAATCACAAGCAAGGGGCAAACCATAAGCTAGGGGCAAAGCACAAGCTAGGGGCAAAGCACAAGCAAGGGGTAAAGCACAAGCTAGGAGCAAAGCACAAGCAAGGGGCAAAGTTGGCATGCAAGACTACATCAGACCTAGCAAAGCTATTGGTCGACCTCCAGCGCAGCACGGTCGAGCTCCAGCGCAGCACGGTCGACCGCGTGCTAGCCCGACTTGGTCGACCGCGCTCCAGCAGAGCAAAGTCGCGACTTGCCAACGTTGCGAGTCCACGGTGCGCCAATACTGCAGCAAGTCGGCTGCACAGAGTTGCACCCGCAGAACTACGGTGCACCTGCTTCGCAGGTGCGCGCAGCTGGTTGGTGCACTCTTCCTTGTCACGTGCACAGCGCACACGCTCAGGTCGACTCCACGCCAACGACTGCGCCCACTAGCCACGTCGACCTCGGGATACCATCCCCGAGGTCGGCCTCGCAGACTCTACCCCGGCGACACGTCGCCCGGGTATTCTGGTCGACCAGGCAACCACGCTTGGTCAACCAGCTCAGTCGGTTGCCGGCTCAACAAGCCCGACGTCCCAGTGTTTGGCGCCCACCACCTCAGCGTCCTGCTCCTCGACGCCCTCCAGCTCGGCGTCACCAGCCTCCCCTGTCAAGGTCGACGTCGGACCCTCGTTCGTCGACCTCATCATCCTGGTCGACCCACCGGTCGACCAGCCCCGCGCCGACCAGCACAGCTGTGAGGATCTAGGATCGAGCTCAGAGAAGAGAATTGTAATTGAATTATCACCTGGGTACAACACGAGGCTATATATAGGCTCGACACAAGGCCCAGTAACCAGGTGTTACGCGAAGGTTCCGCGGGTCGCGAAGCGTCCCGAACAGATCCTTCCCGAATTCGGTAGAAGGCAATTCGGTGGCAACCGAAAAGCCCAGAATTCGTTGCACGCAACCTAGCTCGGTGCTATAACTATAATAAAATATAGGAAAGCACCTAGTCTAGGAAATCAAGTAATTCATGCATGCATATAATTATCATATGCTAGAAATAGCATGATAAAGTAAAGGCAAGCAAGCATAGCTGGCATAAGCCGTCGTACTCTCACACGTCCCCCCCCTCAAAGCTGGATGGCATTAGAAACACCCTGCTTGACAAGCTAGTCCTTGAGAGTACGGCGTGCGTTGCCCATATCAGCTTCTGCAACCCAACTGTCCTCAGTGGGGTCGTATCTCTTCCAGCGGATCAGGAACTTGAGGGTCTTGCCGCCACGGCGTCGATGAGTGAGAACGCGCTCCATTTCATACTCAGGTTCATCCTCTATGAGAACAGGTCGTGGTTGCGGTAGTTATCGTCCCTGGAACTGTTGGTTGGGGTCCTTGTAGGGTTTCAATAGCTGGACATGGAAAGCGTTGTAAAGCTTCCAGGAATCTGGTAAGCGCAAGCGGAATGTAACTGGTGTCACCTGTGCCTCAAGGGGAAAAGGACCACAGAAGCGAGACCGGAGTTTGGATGGGAGGTGAGACAGGTTCAAGTTGCGCGTGTCAAAAAGCACCTGATCTCCGACTGCTACTGAGTGATCACGTCGCTGACGATCGGCATACTGCTTCTGGGGGGTCTGCATCGTGGTGAGTCGTCGCTGAGTCTTCTCCCATAGCTGCTGCATGGTGGTGACAAAGTCGTGTTCGGCTTGGACGTGTGCCGGTGTGGTTGGCTGCTGTGGTGTGAGTGGTTTCCGTCCGTAACACAGGAAGAAAGGAGTTTTCCCTGTGGCTGCATGTGATGCGTTGTTGTAAGCGAACTCTAGGGTCGGTAACTGT